TTGTGAGGAATGGACCTGGATCAAGTGATCCTTCTTAACTGGATGAAGGTCAGGACAAATGAGCTGTAAGTTTTCAATTTCATTAAGGGAGAGTTTTATCTAGTTATGTAAGGATTCATTATCCGAGACTGATCTACTAGTTATTGTAATACTAAATCATGCTACGCATACTACTAAAAATAATCGAAAATTTTTATTAATATGTCAAAAATATATAATTTAAAAAAATTTTTGTGACTTGTTATAGCTAGTGGTCGTTGTGAAGTTCCTTCTGAACCGCTCAGAAACGATAGTGAATTAAAGCATCAAGTTCATTACCAGTTATTGCAAACGGAAATATCTTTAAGCTTTCTGAGCTATTGACATTCCTTGCCAGGCAAAGATTTTGAAAAAGTAAGTATACATACCGGTTGAAATATGGGAATTTTGTAAAACCAGAATGTTAGGTACATTACAAATAGTGATTTGATTTCTTCTGCAAAATCACGCAATCCTATTCTATGCCAGAAGTATAGAATGATATACTTTAAAAACATATAAGCAGTGCTTTCAGGGATTCTAATTCTTTAACCACTTCATTTACGTATTGGTTCAATATTAGGCCACACATATGGCCTTATTTTCACTTTTTTTTGACTGTTTATCCTGGTTAGGAATGTCAGTAGTTCATGAACAACACTGATTTGAGGTTCAGATTTCCAGATGAAAAGGAATTCAATTGAAACGCAACTTTTTTATTCAGCGCAAATGAGAAAAAGGACTGTATCGTTTAAATTAAGGTCTGAAGAGCGAGAAGCGAAACACTCCCACCAGTACAGCTCAAGCATCTTATCAATGAGAGGAAGAATCTAGATAGACACAATGTTTGATGATCTCATACTTGTAAAATAAACCTCGATCATGTCATTACGTACATTGATGAAACATTTTTTCTCGTGTACTACAGAAAATACTAATTGCGTGACTGTTACTAAAGCGACGACTTAAATTAGTCTATAAACTCTGCGGATATGGATGTATGAGTTTGAGTGTGAATGTGGACGTGGATGTGTGAGAGTGGATGTGGATGTGGATGTGGATGTGGATGTGGATGTGGATGTAGATGTAAATGTAGATGTATGAGTGTGGATATGGATGTGGATGTGTGAGTGTGGATGCTGATGTGGATCTGTGAGTATGGGTGTGGATCTGTGAATGTGGATCTGTGAATGTGGATCTGTGAGTGTAGATCTGTGAGTGTGGATCTGTGAGTGTGAATGTAGACGTGGATGTGTGAGTGTGAATCTGTGAATGTTGATGTGGATGTGTGAGTGTGAATGTGGATGTGATCTGTGAGTGTGGATTTGGATGTGTAAATGTGGATGTGTGAGTGTGGATTTGGATGTGGATATGGATGTGGACGTGGATGTATGAGTGTGGATTTGGATGG